TTTTAGGGGACTTTTGACCACAAAAATTATCCTCAAAGTCTTCTTGGGATTTTTATAGCAAATGTTTAAAAAAAATCCTGGTAAACGGGGTTGAAACAGGTCAAAGTGTTCTACAAAATAATTTGTCATAAAATTCTACGCTATGTCTCAAAATACATCAAATTCCTAAATCTTACCTAAACGTCAAGAAATTATAAGCATTAACAACACATTTGAGGGTTAAAGTCATGCTTCACATGAGTTTACGTAAAATTCTCTTACAAAACATTATTTAAGAAAAATGACGTTAACTACAAAAGTATTCTTCGTCAAATTTCACTGTGACTCTTCAATGAAAATTAATCTCTATTTTCATTGCATAAATAAAATAAAATAAAATTTTTACATAAATATTGTCAAAAACAAAAAAAAAAACAAAAAATATTTCCTAAAAAATGTTTGATATTTTTTCCTTGGCCATTTTTGAGTTGATGCATGATAGTTTTATAAAACTTCATTTTAGATAAAAAGTAAAATTTTGTAGTGAAATTTTGTTAAGAATATCTATCTAAAATGAAGTTTTATGTTAATTTGGTGCATCAACTTAAAAAGACCAAAGAAAAATCCTTTTATGAAAAAAATCTAAAAAAACCTCCGCAATTTCAAATTTTGAATATCTTTATTTGCGTCAAAGCATTTTCTACCAAAACCATAAAATAGTTATTAACCATTTAAAATCAATTAACAACAAAAAATAACAAAAGCATTTAATTGACTGACAATGATGTGAAATGCCAAATAACAATATAATTTGACAGCACAGGTTTTCGAAAAAAAAACTTTTAAAATATTTAAAAAAAAAACTTTTTCGTTTATAAATTATTATTTTTATTAAGATTCTGGAAATTTATGCAAGACACAAAAACCGGGTTCTATGAAATTCACATAATTTTGATTATTTCTGCACTTTGTCGTGAAATGTCAAAACAGCATAGAAAGAACATAAAAAGAAAAAGCATTCATTAAAATATTTTAGAAAAGATAGAAACGAAATCCGGACATAAGTGAAAGTAGTTAAGATTTTGAATAATAATTTGTTTAGAAATAGAACATGATGTCATGCTAGTTTGCATTTCTGAAAATGCATTAGATTATTGTTCTTATCATGATTATGATCTAAATAAATATGACATTGTTGACACTTCCACATTTGCCCTCTCAACATTTGACACCCACTCGTTGTTAAAAACACAAAAAAAAATTATAATATGTTAATTTTAGGTTTCGTTGAAACCAAGCTGTCTATCGACAACGCCCATTTATTTTTTGCGTCAAATGTTTCTTTTTTTTTTTTCTAAGCTAAGCCAATTATTTATGTCTTGTATTCTAGCTTGGCTTTTGTTGTGACCTGAATCATGCTAGGTTTGAAACAAGAAAGTTTCATATACATTCTAAAAAAATATGAATAGAATTAAGAATTTTGAATATTTTACAAATTCTAACCTTTCAAAACTCTATAAATTAGTTTTACTCATTGAGGTCAATTTTGAAAATGAATGGAAATATTTATTTCCCATCGACCCCATACTGGCTTTGGTTCTATTGCCATTCTCACGGATAAGTTCCTATTACGCATGTATTTCAAAACAAAATGACAAAAGGGGGAAAAGCACAACAAAAAAAATGACAGTAGATGGAAATGTCTATATCGACAAAGAATTTAACGCTGACAAAGGTTTTTGGACCAGTATATCCGAAAGTTATCACTCAGAACTGTATTATAGAGGAAGCTGGAACGTGGAAACACATGGTTCCTTCTATCTATTAGTTATTCAAATCTTAAAATCCTGGAAGGCATATTGAATGGCAGTAACAGACATCTAACCTTAAACACTGCCAATACTATTCTAATATTTGTTTTCAATTCAAACATGACCCATTTAAAATTTTGTTTAAATGAAATATTTTCTATCCTCTAACGACAACAATGTAAACTGTAATGCTTCTTCTTACCTTAATCATTGTTGGTTTGTGTCTCCGATCACGAAAAGGTTAACATAACGTTTCACAACAATCATCTTTCGTATACATAATGAAATGACAGCGCAATAGTTCTAGTACCACGTTTAGTAAACAGATGGCTCTTGTTAAGTTAAAGTGGTATTTAATTGCCTTAAAAGTCTAATTAAATTACACCACGTTTACATAGATTGTTTTTACCAAGCCGTATTATTGACGTTCCAATAAATGTTTGAGCCAGTAACAAGTAAAAACGTTAAGTTCGGCATTACATACATACATTAGTAAAGTACCTACGCATTTTTTCGATCACAATGAACCCTATTTTCATCGAAAATATATAATTTAAACAAAAAGAACAATTTTTTCTTTATGAAATCGAAAAAAAAGCAAAACTGGTAAATTTTTGCAGGTAAAAGAAAACATATGCAAGTGTATGATAGTAAAAATTATGAGTTACATGTAAAATGACAATTTTACATTTTGACATTCACACTGAAATACACATGGATAATTCAATTGACAGCACATATTAAAAAACCCATGTCGTCTGATAGCAGCTTAGAAAAGAAGACTATTTATGTGCTAATCTCATTTTGCCAGCAAGTTTTTCCAGGTTTTCGGATTCTGGAACGGTGCATTGCAGAAGAATACAGGTAGATGCATCAACGCTTGGGAGCATTGATATGTCAAAAAGAATTTAATATTATTTCAAATATAAGTAGATTTTTATATGTTTTCTTATACTACGTCATTCGGAGTCTATTGTAATTCGCGCTTTTCAACAATTTTGACAAATTTAAATAATTTTTCATTCAACATTTTCAATTCCAAAATTGGTTTGACAGTTCATTGTCCCAGCAGCTGTGTCGACGCGTCTACCTATATTCTTCTACCATGGGAACGGTGTTTAAATTAAAAATTGTTAAACATATAGTTGTAAAACCATGATAGAACTAAGAAGGTAATGTGGCGTTTCCACTGCACTTGATTCACTCTCTATTCGTTATTTGACCCTTAACTATGAAAAAACTACACAATTCTTCACACAAAATTTCCTGAGCGAACACTCATATTTGTAAGTTGTTCAAATCAAATCACTCTCAGAACAACGAAAAAATATGTGCCATCCCTAACAAATGAGAGCATTTATCGAAAAAATAAATTATGACATTTAAAAATTAAATATAGAAAAAATTGATGAAATTTAAAATTTTTTGGGAAGACTGAAAATTATGAATGAAAACTACAATGTTGAATGGCGTATGTACATTCAAACGAAAGTAAATTTTGTTTTCTCTCTCATTCGAGGTACGCATTTGGTCCACGAGTTAAATTTTCCACAGAAAACTGCAAACAAAAGGGGCAATATTTTCAAAATGTTTCTATCGGCAGAAAAAATGTTTGACAAGTGTCTCTCCAGTAGAAATTAAAAATGGAAAAACACAAAAATATGTTCAAAATGTCAACATTTACACAAAAAGTTGAAAACTTGAATGAAAATTGTAAAATTAATGATATAATAAATCTTTGGGAGGAAAACAATAATTTCTTCTATTCATATTAGTGAGAATTTCATGTATTTTCGTATAAATTCCCATTAAAATCCACAAACAAAATTTTTGAAAAAAGGAATTACTTTACTATAAATTACGAATCGTGCCGTATGAACGGGTTAATTCGTGTACCTAATTCTGAGAGCGAACAACGTTGTTCGGTTTCCAATGGAAACATGCTATAAAGTCGTGTAATCTCAGAACAACGAAAAAATATGTCCCATCCCTAACAAATGAGAGCATTTATCGAAAAAAATATGACATTTAAAAATTAAAAATAGAAAAATTTAATGAAATTTTAAAAATTTTTGGGAAGACAGAAAATTATGAATGAAAACTACAATGTTGAATGGTGTAGTACATTCAAACGAAAGTAAATTTTGTTTTCTATCTGATCCGAGCTACGCATTTTGTCCACGAGTTGAAATTTCCACAGAAAACTGGAAACAAAAGAGGCGGTATTTTCAAAATGTTTGAATCGGCAAAAATATATTTGACAAGTGTCTCTCCAGCAGAATTTAAAAAAAGAAAAATACAAAAATATGTTCAAAATGTCAACATTTACACAAAAAGTTGAAAACGTGAATGAAAATTATAAAATTAATGATATAATAAATCTTTGGGAGAAAAACGATAATTTCTTCTACTCATATTGGTGAGAATTTAATGTATTTTAGTATAATTTCCCATTAAAATCAACAAACAAAATTTTTGAAAAAATGGAATTATTTTACTATGAATTACGAATCGTGCCGAATGAACGGGTTAATTCGTGTACCTATTTCTGAGAGCGAACAACGTTGTTCGGTTTCCAATAGAAACATGCTATAAATCATTGTACCATGACTAATACAATATAGTACTATATTTCATGTTCTGGAACAAAACTTGTCTCAACGAAAATCTGGTCAAGACATATTCATGTGCTAATCGCCTCTGAATTATTTGCATCAAAATAAAAGAAAGTTTGTTTCTTCAGTTACTTTTATGCCATGTTTACGTTAGAACTTTTTGTAGGGTTAACCTACTTTGAGAGAATTTATTTGAAGTAAAAGTAATGGATATGACAATTTAAATCCAAATCCATCAAAATCCAAATGCATCAAAATAAAAGAAAGTTTGTTTCTTCAGTTACTTTTATGCCATGTTTACGTTAGAACTTTTTGTAGGGTTAACCTACTTTGAGAGGATTTATTTGAAGTATAAGTAATGGATATGACAATTTAAATCCAAATCCAGTGGGTTAACCCTCATATATATATACGTACTATTATGCATTTGTAAAAGTCGCTGCTTAACCCTTTCAGTGTCAGTGTTGACAAAAACACTGAAAGGGTTAATATCACTACATTACACTTCACACAATCTAAAGACGCTTTAAATAGTAGTCGAACAATCGATAACACTGCTTCGCATTGCGATGTCATCGAAATCATTACACACATGCCATCGCTAGCAACACCTTTATTTTTTATTTGTCAATTGACAGAAGAAGACGCAAATACAATAACACAACACAGAAGACTTCTACAAAGGAATGCAAAAAGCATCACATATAGCCCGACAACATTCCCAGGACCATATAGCCCCCGAATTCATACCCTCCGTCAACATGAAACGCAGAACGCTGTCTGGAAGCTGTGGCGTGGGATTTTTTGTGCTGGCATTTGGTTTCATAGCAATTGCCTTTGCCACACCCAGCTGGCTGGTAAGTGATTATCGTATTACTGGAGCCAAATTGGAACGTTTGGGCTTGTGGGTGCATTGTTTCCGTTCACTGCCCGATGTAAATGACGATAGTCAGCGACGTTTCTTTGTGGGCTGCAGATGGGTCTACGATCCATTTACAACGGGCTACGATGAAATACGTGGTTTCTTGCTGCCTGGCTTCATGATTGCAACACAGTTCTTCTTTACGCTGGCCTTCGTGGGAATGTTGGTGTCGGCTATAGGTGTGTTGGTGTTCTTTTTGTGTGCAGGGCCAGATCAAAAGCATTTCGTCAAGCTGATACGAGCCATTGGATTTACGGTGCTTGGAGCTGGCGTGTGTGCCAGTTTGGCGGTCATTATATTTGCTTCATTGGGTAATCGTAACAATTGGATGCCTGAACATGCCAACAACTGGTTTGGTTGGTCATTTATTTTGGCCTGTGTGGGAGCAGTAACAGCTCTGGTAGCTGGTACGTTGTTTCTCACCGAGTGCTATGTACAAAAGCGCAAAAGGACATTGTTTAAGGAGTCTCAGACCAGATTTGAAATGATGCACGGTGGAAAGTAACGAAGGACAACAATAACCAAATGTAAAACAAATGCATACAACATTAAGAAGTCATTTGCATCCCACCCATTGAAAAGAAGGCAACTACTACAAATATGTATCCTCAGGATTATAAGCTAAACAGAGGTACTTCACGTTTTCAAAATCGTCTCATTCCATTTACTCTTAAATTATATTCTCAATCAAGACAACCAACCATTCCAAGTATCTGAAGAAAAACAAACAAAAAACAAAACCTCAACTCCCTCCAGCTTACAACACTACCAGTTGGTACTTATGCTCATACATATCTACATTATTGCGCCAGTGAAGATAGCATTTCATTAATACATTCCAGTTAAGACTGATCGTAGAACTTTTAAAACAGCGGCAGCTCTACAAGGTGGTGACCTAACTAAGCTCACATCACCGCCTCCTCCTCCGTCCATACCATAGAAAGTAGTACGAGCAAAGACAACGAATGAATGTAGCAGACCTTAGTAATTACATAATAATTATTGCATGTCGATCGAATTAATTTAATAATCATGCAAAAAATCACTTAATTCAAATGATATTGGGGCTCCTCAATGTTGAATGCAGATGAATCATATCAGCAAGGCAGCAATCAGTCAGTCAGCCAGCCAGCCAGCCAATAACGACATGAGCTAGCTGTTGGCGGAATTTTGCACAAACATACAATGAAGGTACCCTCCAGAGCGCAAAACTACATGCATTTCTTCTCAATTTTATCTATTTCGAATCTCTAATATTTTTCTCGAATCGAATCGTTTTACAACAGTTTTGTCGAATAGAATGCAGCAGCAGTGTTTTTGTGTAATGTTTGTTTTTTTATTTTAATGTGCCTTAGATAGTATTGTAAGCATAGTTTGATTATATTTTTGAAACCCCCTTTATACAAATAATAACGAGTAACAAAACGACCACTTAGCATTTAAGTACAAAATTCTTTGAATCTAATACATATCTTTATTAGAATTATACATTCCATTGAAGAAACGACCGAAGATTAGAATACAAACTGCATCAAATGACCTTAGCGTCTGTCTTTTCACAACTGTCAACAGTTCGAGTTGTGTCTTAGTTTATTTTTTGCGACAATAGGTATTTGTTTGTAGGTATATAAGTACGTATATATATGTATTTTTTATTATTCAAGATTCCGTCCATGTTTACAAATTTAAATAAAAATCTTTTTATTCGAAAATTGTTTTTCTTTTGTTTGCCGTAAAAATTTCCCATGGTTAAGTATTGCGTTGAGCATTTTTTCGGTGTTTATTATTGTGAAATTTTTTCGGTGGTGGTGCCAACAATGAGTTCTAAGTGGAAGTTTAGGTCAAGGCATTTCTAAGCTGCTGTACTGTACGTTATTGTCATGTGTATGAATATTATTCTAGTTCATTTGAGACTGACAGTGTGAATATTAAGGTTTGTCTCAAGTCTATTTTGGTGACTCACTCAAAGTACATACATATAAACAGATTACTCAGAATCTTGTCAATATTGATCTTTTGAATATGAACAATTCTCAACAATGTAAATAATTTCATTATTGTGATTTGTAGGCAAATATCAGTCGAATGGCTAAATTGATTGAAAGTATTGTATATTTTTATTAATTAATGTAAGTTTGATGTGAATATTTTATTGCCGCAATCTAATATTCGTTACTGCATTGTAGATTATTGGACTTTTGTGAAAGGTTTAGAAGAATCATGAAGGGCTATGCCCATCTGTCAGTTTATTGAAAACAAAATAGAAGCTATATTATTTTATGTAAAGCTTTGAAATACTCAAACTTGTTTGTCTTATGATTATGGTCACTTTTTAAGTATATTCCTGGTACTTTTCGACAAAACCATCAACAGTTTTCTACACAATTTCCAAGAGAATAAAACTTAATTTGACATTTGGCGTTGGTAATTGGCAGAAATATGGGTCCACCAATAATGGTTTTTGGACCTGGGTCTCTTTGGAACAAATCCGTTTCAAGACATTTGGAGTCGATCTAGCGATATCCGTCCATCTCTCTGTCTGGCTGGTGCGTACGATAACTCTCGAATGGAGTATCCGATTTGGCCCAAACTTGGTACGCCTTAATATTTTTGTCAAACTTAGATCGAGTTCGGAGATGGGCAACATCGGTCCACTCCACTTGGACAGACCAACGCTGTTTTTAATTTCTTAAATGTGAACAGATTTTTAACTCCCCTTTAAAAAATTAGTTTTGTAAAAACAAGGTCACAATGTTCAATGGACTTAAGAATTTATTCAATCCAAAATTATTCATGTTCTGTCAAAGAAACGCAAAAAATGGAAAAAAATAATTCGATAACCAATTTTCCCAAAAATCCAAAATTAGATGACTCTTACAGGTCTGGAACAGAGCTATAATATTTGGGGGAGTCTCCACATATATAAAAAATTGTAAGATGGCGCTTATTGAACTTATCACGTCAGGTCCGGATGCTAGAAACCTGTCCGTAGGCTATTATTTTTCTTCTTTAATTCAAGAACACGGTATCCAACACAGACAGAGAACAGAATGTAATGTAAATGTTTAAGGCTAGTCGGAATTTTGGAAAATTGTATGGCTTAAAAGACGTTTGACTATTCAAGTACAGCTCAGCGATCTCATTTCGATCTACCACAAAGTTTATACACTTATTTCTCATCTGCAGGAACAATGATGCTTCTCAACTTACCGTCTTTTGGAAACAAATGTCACCTAAAATTCTTTTGCTCGGTATTAGTTTGATCGTTGATTGCCCACTGAAAGTACTTGACCATAGACGGGTAGTTTTGGGTTAGTTTTTTTCGAGATTTCCTAAAACATTTTTTTTATTCATTCCCTTTTGAAAGAAAATTTTCATAACTATTAACATTTATTCGAGTTCCTTAGCCTAAGTACCAATACATTTACCATAGCAACATACCTTGATATTTACGATGGGCCGTGCTTATATTTGCGGAATATAATCTTGGATATTAACTGAAATCGTAATCTTAGTTCTTCATAGTTCTTCGATATTGTTATCAATAAAAAATTCTAACCTTTTAATCTATTAATCCTCACGTTTTTCAAGAATCATAACTAGGATTCTTTCGTTTTTCATTTGAATATTAGGTATTGTGTATATGAATGTCGGCAGCACAGGGGATACAAATTTCAACAAAGAATGTAAAACGAGAATATGTTATTTTATTTTCCTTTCACTTCGACATCTCAAAATTCTTGAAAAATATTGCCCAAGGGCCAATATATGCCTTGAAATTACCTGATATTTTATGTTACCAAGTCTCATTTCACACAAAAGAAAAAAATTATAATAAAAATTCCAGCAAAAATAACTTTTGATATTTTTAACACTTGGCAACTCTATTCTTGCACAAACTTCAGTTGAGCTTGTGAATTAATTAGAAGTGTTTGTGGCAAACGGCCAATTCGGAAATAAAGTGAAAAAAACATTAATAAATGATTAAATTTTTCAAACTTGGTGTTATATTTTAAGAATTTATTGCATAAAATGGTGAAACAAAGGAAAATAGCTTGAAATAATGCTAGTATACATAATAATTTAACGGAGATCATGTACATCCATAGAGTCGGCATTATTGCGCCTTTTTTCTTTTGGCCATAAAAGTCATTGTTGTGCAAAAAATATCAAAATATATGTGTTATGTGAAATCGGGTTGACGCTTAAGTCATTAAATATTCTTGAAAATAAAATTATGTGTTAATTAAAATAGAATTATGTCGGTTAAATATTTAAGACGCATCTCTTCTTCTTCCTTCGTCCAAAACATTTTGCGCTGATGTGTGATGACATTTAACGTGTAGTGTTGTACAGTGCTATTATGCTTAACAGTGTTGGTCAACGGTATTTCAACATTATTGTTTTCTGCAAAATACCAAATGTTATAAAAAATGTTCTTTTTTAATTTTAATTTCGACTTTTTGCTTTTAATTCGATATCTTAAAATTCTTGTAACAGATTACTCAAGGCGTAAATATTCCATGAGATTACCTGACATCTTATGTTATCAAGGCTCAATTCCCTTATAAAAAGTTTGATAATTTTTTTGTTGGCAATTTTATTATTGTCCAAACTTTAGTTGAGCTTGTGAATTAATTAGAAGTGTTGTGGCAAACGGTCGGGAATAAAGTGAAAAACCATTAATAAATTTTTAAATTTCTTGGTGTTATATTTAAAGAATTAAATGCATAAAATAGTGAAATAACCGAAAATAACTCGGGTTAACGGTAATGTGTTTTTTAAAATAGATTTTTGTCAGTTGAATATTTAAGAGACATATCTTCTTCTTTCTTCGGCCACAACATTTTGCGCTGATGTGTGATGACATACAATGTTCAGTATTGTACAGTACTATTATGCTTAATAGTGTTGGTCAACGATATTTCTGCATTTTTGTTTTCTATAAAATGCCAAAAGTTATTTTTAAATTGTTAGTACGCCCATTTGAAAACAATTAAAAAAAATCCGTTAAGAATAAATTAAACTTCAACATTAAGTGAAATTTTTCGTGCGAATCCATAAAACATGTTTAATTCTTAAAGAAAAATATAAAAAGGGGTGTTCCATACAAAAATAAATTGAAAAGCATTTCAAACTGTTTAAGCAGAATTTAAAATTTTAAAAATGTATATGTATTGATTGTTGCGTGTCCCGGAATAGAATAATAAGGTTATCCTGTGTGCTGAAGTTCCCAATGTGGTAAGTTCTATGTTGTGATTTCTTTAATGTTACAATGTACGCTTAACCGTCTCTTTTGGATTGTGATTATTAAATAGAATAATATCTTAATTCAAAATTTCCTAGTAATCTATATGATGTTTCGTACGGCGATGTTACCAACATAAATATATCCCTTTCTTTCTCAAGTCCTTGAAAGCTTAAAATATAATGAAAACAAGAAAAAAAATATTTAAGTATTTGGTGTTAAATATTGTTGGGGCTACGTCTACATTGAATAGTTTTTGAGAGAAGTAAAATTACCTACACGGAACTCAATATGTAAATATATAGCGGATTTGGTTGGAAATGAGGACCGAAACCTTAAAAATAGCAACAAGTAAAAAAGCAGTTAGTTCGGCCGGGAAATTAAAAAAGAAATAAATAAAATAAAAAATAAATATATAAAAGGATTAAATCAGTTAAAAATTCTGTTATTTCATAAAAATACCGAATATAGCCGAAGATGTTATAAACATAAATATATCCCTTTCTTTCTCAAATCCTTGAAAACATAAGCCATTACAATATTCAAATACGAAACTTAAAAAAAATCGGTGAATAATGTAGCTAAAAATATCAAAATTCGAAATATAGGTATGTACTCTTATATCGGTGCTATACGAAGACCTGGACCTGCATAGATAATTTTCTGTACCTATTAGGAACTTCAAATACGAAATTTCAAACAGTTTCGGTATATATTAAACTTAAAACCGTCAAATTATCGAATATAGGGAGGTACTGATATTTGGGGCCTATACGAAGACCTGGACCTGCCCAGACAAATTTCTGTCATATACTGTTGTATCCATTACGAACTTCAAATACGATATTTGAAATAACTCCGGTGAATAATGTGCCTAAAATCATTAAAATATCGAATATCGGGTGGTACCGTTGTATGTTGGTTATACGATATCGTGGACCTATGTACACAGTTTTCTTCCAGGGCATAAAGTGCTTAGAAAGAACTTCTAGTATGGATTTTTACACAATTCCATTGAGGAGGTACCGTTATACGGTGGATATACGATATCGTGGACATGTGTGGACAACACTCTTCCAGGGGAAAAGTACTCAAAAGGAACTCCTTTTGTGAATTTTCAGACAATTTCATTGAAAAAGTTGGCTACAATCATCAAAATATAGATTATCGGGGGTACCGATATATAGGGGCTATACGATATTGTGGACCGGTGTAGCCCATCTTCGAACTTGATCTGCCTGCAGACGAAAGACTGTTATGTGCAAAATTGTAGTTTCCTATCTTTATACGTTTTGACTCCAGTGTGATTACAATAGACGGACAGACGTACGGGCGGATGGACTTTGCTAAACCGTTTTAGAAATTTTCGCTGATCAAGAATATATATTTTGTTATGTCTAAAATTATTATTTCGATGAGTTACAAACGGAATGACGAACCTTATATACCCTTCATATTAGGTAT